TGGCACTCCTCAGCAAAATGGGCGTGTGGAACGCAAACATCAACATATTCTAAATGTTGCTCGTGCATTGCGGTTCCAGGCTCATCTGCTGCTTTCTTTTTGGGGTCATTGCGTTTTGACTGCGGTTATTTAATCAATCGTACCCCTTCATCGGTTTTGCATGGTAAGACTCCATATGAGATTCTCTACGGTGTTGCTCCTCCCTTGTCTCATTTGCGTGTATTTGGTTGCCTTTGTTATGCTCATAACCAAGACCGCAATGGTGACAAGTTTACTTCTCGAAGTAGTCGTTGTGTGTTTGTGGGATACCCGTTTGGCAAGAAGGGGTGGAGTCTGTATGATTTGGATCGTCAGATTTTCTTTGTCTCCCGTGATGTGGAGTTTCTAGAGACTGAGTTCCCTTATTTGGCTACCTCCTCTGGGTCCGACTCTCTACCCTTGTCTTCTGAGTTGCCGATTTCTTCTGAGCTGGATGATGAGGAGCCTCTAGTGATTATCGTGCCGCCCGTGCCTTCTGACACTGGGGATGTTCCTCTTTTTATGGGATCCGATGACAGGGGGGGTTCTCCTACTCCTCCAGCGGCGCCTTTGGTGGTGCCTTCTCTTCCAGCGGAGTCTTTAGGTCGTGGTCATCGGACTAAGATTCCTTCTACTCGACTGAAGGACTTTGTGGTTGATACTATCTGTCCCTCGACTGCTCCCCCTGCTGCTTCTCCCGAGTCATCTCCATCCTCAGGTACGCCTTATCCCATAGCACATTACGTTTCTTGCGAGTCTTTCTCTCCAGCTTATCGAACATTTTTAGCGGTTGTGACCTCTGCTGTTGAGCCTCGTAGTTTTGCGGATGCCATGACTGACCCTCGATGGCGAGCTGCTATGCAGGATGAGATTCGTGCCTTGGAAAATAATGGGACTTGGGATGTGGTCTCTCTCCCTTTTGGGAAACGTGCTATAGGGTGCAAATGGGTCTTTAAGATCAAACACAAGGCTGACGGTACTGTTGAGCGATATAAAGCGCGCTTGGTAATTTTGGGGAACAATCAGGTGGAAGGTCTTGATTATCATGAGACTTTTGCTCCGGTCGCCAAAATGGTTACAGTCCGACTTTTCTTGGCTGTAGCTGCAGCAAAACATTGGGAAGTTCACCAGATGGACGTTCACAATGCCTTTCTGCATGGTGATCTGGATGAGGAGGTGTATATGAAGTTCCCGCCTGGATTTCGTATTGGTGTTGATGGACAAGTTTGTCGTCTTCGTCGTTCTCTGTATGGCTTGAAGCAGGCTCCCCGCTGTTGGTTCGCCAAGTTGGCGACGGCTCTAAAACATTATGGTTTCCGTCAGTCCTATCATGATTATTCTCTTTTTACCCTACATCGTGGTTTTGTTCATCTGCAGGTATTGGTGTATGTTGATGATTTGATTATTTCTGGCAATGATACCCCCTCCATTGCAGCGTTTAAGAGTTATTTAAATCGGTGTTTCCATATGAAGGATCTTGGGCTGCTTAAGTATTTTCTGGGTATCGAGGTTGCCAGGAATGTTTCGGGCTTCTTTCTCTGTCAGCGGAAGTATGCTCTTGATATTATTGCTGAAGCCGGACTATTAGGGAGCAAGCCAGGTGATTTCCCGTTGGAGCAGAATCATCAGCTTCCTCTCGCTGAGGATGCTCTCTTGTCCGATCCCGAGAACTATCGGCGTTTGGTAGGGCGACTTATTTATCTAGCAGTTACTCGTCCTGAGTTGTCCTATTCTGTGCATATGCTTGCTCAGTTCATGCACCAACCACGACAGTCTCACTGGGACGCTGCCCTGCGTGTGATTCGGTATTTGAAGGGCTCTCCTGGTCAGGGGATCCTTCTTCGTTCTGACTCTGATCTCCAACTCTATGCGTGGTGTGATTCAGATTGGGCGACATGTCCTCTCACTAGACGATCCCTTTCGGGTTGGTTCATTCAGCTGGGTCAGTCTCCTGTTTCTTGGCGAACCAAGAAACAACATACTGTTGCTCGTTCTTCTGCTGAGGCTGAATATCGAGCGATGGCTACTATTTTGTGCGAGCTGAAGTGGTTACGAGGATTGTTGTCTTGTCTTGGTGTCGCTCATTCTCAGCCTATGCAGTTGCATTGTGACAGTCAATCCGCTTTGCATATTGCTGCGAATCCAGTTTTTCATTAGCGCACTAAACACATTGAGGTGGATTGTCACTTCGTTCGTGATGCCCTTCTGCAGGGTCTCATCTCTACTACTCATGTTCCCTCTGGCGCACAGCTGGCTGACATCTTTACCAAGGCGCTTGGAAAACGTGAATTTGATTTTTTTCTTGGCAAGTTGGGCATTAGGAATCCGCATGCTCCAACTTGAGGGGGGGTGTTATTGTGTATTATATTTGTATTCTTTGTCTTTAGCCTTAGGTATTTTATGGTAACTGTAACCTAAAACTGTATATATATTATTCAATGGTTTTACAGCGGCATCATCAGAAAATAGATGGCCGTCATCAAAATCCTCTCTTGTCTTCAACAATGTACATGCTTGATTTCTCAAATGTATACATACGTGGTGGGAACAGTTTTGATATGGAGTCATCGGATGACACGACTTATGGAGCCATCTACACTTATTCACAAATTGTGTATTGGTACTTGTCTTACAATAATACACTTTGGACATGATCAATACATTAAATGATTGATGTCTCCATAAAAAACCATCCGATAGCTCCATAGAATTTATAGTGGTGGGAAATCAAATTCAAACCATATAGCATTTTTATTAAAAAAAAAAATGGTGACATAATTTTATATATTTAACGTTTTTTTTAAGTTTACTGGAAATGATAAAATTGCACACAATTTTGCGTTATTTCATGATGCTATTTTGCAATATATTTCTGCAATGACATTTAAATAATAATATGTTCAAAAACTTGAATTTGTTAGGGGTTCGAGTCATTCTCATATGACAACTAAAAACCAAAATTTTTGATATGTTAAATTAAAAGTTTGAAAATGTAAAGTCCTAAGTTGAATAGTACAATATTTTTCAGTTTAATTATATTATAGTATTTGATTTTTTGGTATTTGGCATTTAAATTAAAGAGTAAAAAAATTCATATCTAGTGACTAGAATTAAGTTGTAGTTAAATTTTAAAAAAAAATAAAATATAAATACTTCAACTTAAACTATGACTTACCTTGTTATTATTATTATTATTATTATTATTATTATTATTATTTTTTTTTTTTTTTTCCTTTTTTACTTTTAAGTGTATTTGCTTTATTATTTAAATATTTATATTAAGATATTTACATTAAACCTAGAAATAATTTTTAAATGTTATTTTTGAATTCATTCAAATATTATGATAATTTTTTGAATCAATCGTCCAGTTTTATCTTATGCAAATATATATATATACAATATTTCTATCAAAATAAGTTGGAGATGATGGAATAATTTATATATGAGAGTTATATATATCTTGAATGTATGTGCACTTTTTTTATCAGAAATTCTATAAAGCCATAGGATGACTCTCTTATGAAGTCATCCATTACTTGATATACTCATACATGTTCTTTTTTTTTTAAATATTAACACAAGTTCAATGTGTATTTATTGTAGAAGACATGTCAATAAACTATTGGGGTTTTTTCAATACAAGACCTGAAAGATAGGTAAACTATCAATTCGGGACCTGAAAATTTTTTTTTTCTCAATTCGGGACCTGAAATTTTTTTTTTCTCAATTCGGGACCTGAATGTTATAAAACTATCAAATTAAGTCCTACAATTAACAAACACTCACAAAACCATTAAATTGAGAGTTAGTTTTAAAACACCAAATATGTTTTTTTTTTTAATATTATGCAAATGTTTACTTATTATTTTATGTGAGTAAGCAACAATCGTTTATTTTTCTTCAAATTTGGTATTTTAAAACTTAAAATTAATTCTCAATTTAATGGTTTTATGAGTGTTTGTTAATTGTAGGACTTAATTTGATAGTTTTATAACATTCAGGTCCCGAATTGAGAAAAAAAAAATTTCAGGCCCCAAATTGATAGTTTACCTATCTTTCAGGTCTTGTATTGAAAAAACCCCTAAACTATTTATCAACAATTGTGGATGGTCTTGTACCAAAAGAAAAAAAAAAAAAAA